TCGTTAAGGCATTCGTCGATTGACTGGATTTGAGCGCAATTAGTGTCATCACTACCACTACCGGACTGAATGACAGGTATCTTAGTGTCCACTCTCTGGCCATCGGTGGCGGCGCCCGTCTGAGTGGTTGTCGACGACTCCGACCGACCATTGGTTTCGGACTTCGAGTCCGCTGTCAAAGAGAGAGACAAACAATGGATGAGTTGAGTGGTGTGAATGGACTCAAGAGGGAGGCATCGGTGGTACTTACTCTTGTCATCGGTTGTCATGTCTTTGAACAGCTGTTTGTGACAAATGAGCGCCGATTTGGTTGTGAAATGGGTTTCGGAGACGAGATATGAGACGAGAATTAATTGCAAATCATTTACAATGAAAACAGTCGTCCAATGAATGTATGAACGAATGAGACAATCCGTGCAAACGTTTTGTGGACTTTTTCCGCAACTTTTTGTCTCCGTTTTGCAATTTTTCTCACTTATCGCATAGTTTTGGACCGCAGTTACAGATAGGCATTAATTAAGTGGTTGTTTTCCACACTTGTGTACCGTTTGTTTGCATGTAATTTGCTTTTAATTGGATTTATTGAACAAAATTAGTGATAAAAAAGTTTGCGATAAATGAACGCATATTTTCGCACAAATTGACGTCACTTTCAGTGCACAACGAAAACACGTATAAAATACGTGTCGTATGTAAAGCATGTGTTTTCATGTATTTCGTAGCTATTTATGTGCGAAAAGGGGTCAAAATATCGACGTTTATTAGACATAATTTATGTCCCCTTTTATGACAAGACATGCGTTTGTTTTGATTCAGTAATTAATTCATGAGTTTGTGATTCATTTGCCGATTACTGCGGAGGAATGGGTGACAATCTTCGGCTGCGGCTGGAGTTCAAGGGCTTCAACGACCCGTCGCTGAAGAACTCGATGCTATTGGTGAAGAGGAATGAGACGCCGGATGTGATAAGTTTGAAGAAATTGATTGAAAAGCGGTTTCATTTGAGACACGGAATCGATCTCTTCATCGAAGACTTCGCGCTCACGGCCTCTGAGAATATGGAGATCGTGAGGGACAACGACATCGTGATGTCAGTCATGGGTGACAGTGGCGGCGATGTCTTGTTTGTGGTGTTAATCGTGTTTTGTTTTATTGGTTTTCTTTGACACAGTGTTGAACCCAAAGGCGGACCCAACGGCTCGTCCTCTTCGACGGCGACACCGAAACCGAAGCCTAAAATCGGTCCCAAAAGCAAAGTGAAGAGACCGGAAGAGTGGGTAGAAGTGCGACATAAACCGCGAATCGGACCCAAAAGTAAAGTCCAGAAAACTGAAGACTCGGATGGTTTGCCACAAAAGCCGCCAAAACCTAAAATCGGTCCCAAAAGCAAAGTGAAGAGAAGTGATGAAGATTTGGGTGTTTTGCCGAAACGGCCTAAAATTGGACCCAAAAGTAAAGTGAAGAGAACTGAAGATTCGGATGATATGTCGCGAAAGTCATCCATTGATTCCGATTCGGACGTCGAGATAGTGTCCGCGAGAAGTGACATCAAACCGAAGATCAGACACAACGATAACTCGTCCACATCTCAGAGGAGTGACCGCAAAGTCAGTGATACTCCGGTTCGCATTAAGACTGACAAGAACACCGAAGACCGGACGCCCAAAACGAGACCCAAAGTCAAAGTCCAAAGTCAAAGTAAAATTGAACCCAAAGTTGAGCCCAAATCTAAACCTAAAGTGAGGCCTAAAATAGAGCCCAAACCTCATCCCATAATCGATGTTCGGGATGAAGAAGTAAAGTCCAAATCACTCGACGACGAGATTGAGATGAATTCGATGCGAAACATACCGCACAGGAAGGCATTCAAAGAGGCGTCCACTTCGATCAAACAGAAGCCACAACCCATGTATAGAGTGGTGCCGTCGAGTACCCCAACCAATCCAACAACCAGTGGATCGCAACCCAAACGCAAACCCAAACCCAAGAGAGAGGCCACAGAACCGGTCGACACGTTCTCGCCTATCATTGTATTGGACCGCATTATTGTCGACAAACACTTCAACACCACTCCCACAGAAGGTTTGTATCGTGTGTTTAAGACATTATCGAAAATATTAATTGATTGCAACTTTTGCTGCGACAGCAAAGGAACAGTTGTTTTCATTGTCTCCTCTCAAACAAAGCGCTCGAAAGACATTTAGTAACAAAAGTCAGAAGAGAGACAACACAACGACGGCGACGACCAGTGGTTCCAATGGGAAGACAGTGAGTGACACGAAAGTGAATGGAATTAGTGATAGTCTGGAGGAGAAGATCGAGAAACCAAAGTCTCCCACCATATCATTCGATGAGTTGGAACCGTTGACAGTGATCCCCAGCGTTGGGGATTTGATAGCCTTCAAGATGTTAACGCTATCGAGTGATGGCCTCAATATGGAGGCCTCGCCCTTCAATGTGGGATCAGTTGTTTGCGCCGATTCTGACTCTCAAATGGTGGACATTCTGCTCAAGAATTCGCTTCAAAGAAGTATTTACGCCATTAATTGATTTATTTACGAGTGATTTAATGATTGATTTTGCTTTTAATGATTAGTCAATTATTGGGCGAACGACTATAGTCGCGAAGACACGTCAACCGATATAATCTCATTGAAAATCAATTGGACCACAGTTTTAGAGCCAAAACTCATCCAAACGGCTATTCATTAGATTTGATCAATCATTGTGCCATAAAACATATGTAAAAACCAATGCATT